ACTTGTTACACCACAATTTTAATCAATGTTTTTATTTACTTAAATCGCCTTAAGACCCACAATTTGATATAAATTCTTAAAACATTTTTTCTGAATACACCACAGTTTAAGTTGTACCATTGGTGTCGAAAATCTGTTATGGGTTTCTGTTTTACACAGATTGGTCCTGAGGAATTCCTTGTGGGGTATAGCTATTTTCGAGGTAAGGATTGTACTGGGTCAACGAAATGGGAAATTGCCATGAAGGCCAGGAATTCCTTTTGTTTTGGTTTGATTGTGGTGGTGGCATTTTCGGGGAAATTGGTGAGAGTGGGGTTGGAGAAGGGGGAGAGGGGTGGTGGTGCCGGCACAGAAGACAGTAGAAACAGAAGACATAGTAGAAACATAAGATGTGGATTTTTCCAATTACAGTGTTTATTCAAATTCTTTTCATTTATTTGTTGTGGATGTATAGCCAGAAAGTCACCATGAAATTAAAGTTGTAGTGTCATATGAGTACACCACAGTATTTTTTTTATTTTTAATTTTTTATTAGATTAGGAGTATAATTGTAATTTTATTGTCGTGTCTTTATTGAAAATATATTTTAACTGTGGTGTAGTTATAATGTGGTGTAACAAATAAATTTTGTAGTGGTAATATAATTACCCTTATACATTTAACCATATGACGTACGCAAGATGTCCCTAGCCGTCGAGAAAACATGCCACAAGTCCTNGAAATAAAATTAAGATATACCAAAAAGGAGTTATTTCCTTTAAATTTCTAAGCAAATTATGCTTTGAATTAGTGCAAGTTCGGGTCAATATAAAAAAAAGTTGTGTAAATGGAAAGTGACAACACTTTTTCTTTATCACACGTATATAACCGACGTTCACTATTTAGTTTTATTGCTCATCCGCATTCCTATATGTGACAAAAGTTGGCTCATGTTTTATGGGCTTTTTTTTGAAACTTTTCTTTTTCTACATACTCATTTTCAACTACACTCATACAATAAAATGTTATGTATATAAATTCAAAACTTTTCTTTACTTTCTAAACACTCATTCTCCAAAAATTCACTAATCAAAATGTTCAGAAAAGCAGAGATAATACCGGATAACTACGATACCAATTTGCCATTTTGTTGAAGACGATACAAGATTATAGCCACAATATGAAGTAATTGATCACAAAAACATAAGAACAAATTAATTTTCATAGAATGAAGATTTTATTATAATATGGAGAAAGAATATAAAAATTATGTGTTTACAATGTTTCTAACTTCTTACTAAATCATAATGAAGAGCCAACTATATATAGAAAACAAATAGAGGTCGTCCAAACTCGGCATTCTGATCCAGCTTTACGCTGGTGGCACCTAGGCGCCAGTCTCCATCCCAATTATCTTCTAGGATGTTTTTCTTCAAGTCCAACACAAATTCCAACTCCCAATGTGCTTTCAAGTAGAATTTCAACTTGAATTTATTGAATAAACTTCGAATAGGATTCCAAAAACATTCCAAACAAAATTCTTCTTAACATGCAATTTAATTAGAACTTTCAGTTATCTTCAATAAAGAATTCGGGTCACACCCAAATTCAACACAAATTCCACTTTTCGATCCTCATGCCCAACAAGGAACTCAAATTAGGGGCCGGGGCCAGTGATATAACTTAGAAATTTATTTGTTTTATCTTCATCTCAGTATGCGTTATGTAAGGCTGACCATCAGGATCACGTGAGAGATGGACCTTTGATCCCATATATAGTCTCTACAACATTAAACCATTCTTCTTTCACATCAGGATCCATCCACATTGCCTCTAAGTCTTGTGAATCCACACAATCATTCCAGTATTTGAAATTGACAGCCGCCATCCTTGTAATTCACTAAATGCTTCTCATGTCATCTAAAATTAGGGCGGCCAGTATTAACAAAATCTATTAGTTACCAAGAAACATGAAAATTGATGCGAACATTAAAAAAAAAAAAAATCAGTGTTAATTCGCAGAACCTACTTACACAGTCAAAGTAAATTATGGTTTCTAACTCTATCTAAGAACCAAGGTTTCATTCGATAAACTCGTTTGGCTTTATGGTCTATGAAGATATGTTTGTTTCTCTTTCTTTCCTAACTAACAGGAAAAGATCCTCAAATGGGAAGGAGGTTATTGATCGAGAAAGCCACCAGAGCTTGTTGGTCACGAATGCAATTCACTTCAAAAGATGGTAGTCGGAGTCGGTAGCCCACCCAAGGGTGGTCTCTCATCTGAGATCCCTAGGAAAGAAGATCAAATTGGCCTTGAAGATATATTATAGAAGACTTTTCAAATTGTATACGTAATTAGGATTTTATATTCTCTAATATTTTAATTGATTATCTAGTATTTTGTTAGATTCTCGAGTATTTTAATATTTGTTTCTTACCTAAATTTTGTGAATTCTCTAGTATTTTTAGTTGTTACTACTTGGCAAATATTTATTTTCTATTTTATTTTATTTGACTAGTTTGATTAGAGTATTATAATAAAATATTCTCATCACCTTACTTTTAGGTATTTTTATGAACGAAAAACAATTGAACGTTATAAAAAAGCAAATAAAATTGATTTGGTAACTCAATTTTTAAGTAGCATGTATTGAGCTCGACTGCAGATAAGTACATTTATGAAATTCAATAAACTTAAAAAAGTTGTAAAGAAATCAAGTAGTAGGAAAATGACAGTTTTGTTATGTATATCGAAAATATGTACTAAAAATGAAATCTATAATGAAAATATTATATGACATATTAAAAGTATGAAAATCAATAAGGAACAATTGTAGGTATGAGATAATATTATATTTTTGTCTTATTTGACCCAAAAAAAAAAGGTTTTCAGTTAAATTTTGAACCCGGACTAAATCCTACGCCGTCCCTTCTACAGTGTATATGTAAAGATCTGCAATGGTGTCTCGAACTAATTACTCTGCTACTACACCATGCTGTTTTACAAAATTTAAATTAAAGCCCTGGGATGACTAATAAGAACTCATCCCCACATTTCATACAAATGCTTTCAGCAAAATAACTACAAGTGAGGATAGCAAAAATGTGTGATAAATTTCATAATAATATTGTGGCAATGATAATCTAGATAGTGC